AATATAGAAGACCCTAACCCTAAATTAATCGAAAAAATTATTAAATATAAGTTGCCCCTCCGCTTTAGACGTCCCCCACTATGGGGTAGGTACTATGTTCTGACTTTTGTTAAAATTGGCCTGCCATTTTTGAAAGTAAATTCATGAATAGTTTCGACGATAGAATTTTTTTATTTTAATGTTTCTTCTATGTTTGATTTTTTTTATTGTTTAGATGTTAGAGTTAAGAATTAAAATATAATATAATCGCGGATATATTTACTATCATATAATCGAATAAAATTATATTTAATTTAACTAAGAATTTGATAAAATAGAAAATTAGATTTTTAGCAATATTTCGGGTTCTATCGATTATGATTGGGTTATTTTATACCATTCGATTCGTCGAATCGAACGGTATAAAAATTATTTGATTTTGATAAGTATTTGTCGAGATATTTTCGTATTTGCCATTTGCAAAAAAATAGCTTTTGTACTAAGTAAATCAATTTTGAAGCATCAATTTATTTATCAAGACCGTAATCTGATTGGCCAATTAGCATGTGATATTGTGCAACCGAAATGTTGATCGACATTTTCATACCATAAAAGGTGTGCCATATTTGGTAAATCGTCAGACTGGAGATCTTTGTAAAAAATCCAAGATTCTCCAGAAAAATAGATCCAATGATTCCTTTTTGAAATCTATTGGTTCTTTAAGGTAATCGGGCAAAATAGCCATAAGGTCGGCATCTCGATCTGGCTGAAGAGATGGTTCGTAATGAGCCTCTTCTCCTTTAAAAGAGAGCTTGAATTCCAATGCTAAAAGAAATATACATCGATATTTAGTCGAATAAAAATTGCTAATACATTAAAAAATGTTGCGGGACAAAATTACTTTTAAATTTCGAAATATTTCGTCAGTATGAAATAATTTGTCATGGCAGAATATTTCGGTTTAGTCCGCAACACTGAATACAATTCAACGATTTACATACTTCCATTCCTTCCGCTATGAAGGCATTTAAAGCTTCTTTCGTCTTGTGAGATCACTTTAACATTTTGGATTAAGAGATTAGACATTTCTGCATATAGTGATACTTGTTCTTGCATTTCTTTTGACTTTTGATCAAGCTCAGCTGGATTTAGTTTTCTGGAAACAGATGTTTTTGAAAGTTTAGCCGTAAGTTTCTTGCTATTTTCACATTCTTGTTTCAGCTCAAGTTCAAGTCTTTTTACTAATTTTTTTTTTTTTTAAAAAAACAAAAATAATTAAGCTATATACGCCAAAAGGATAATAAGACATAATGAAATATTCATTTATTTGACCTTGTTCTCTTAATCTTACTACATCTTCGGCATGGTTAGAATTCTCAAGATTTTTTACTTTTAAATTAACGAAATAAAAAAAAAATAGTAAAATAAAAGAGTTAGATAAGTAAATGCATATTAAAAGATTCTAATTTACTTAAAGTTCAAACCCTGTTCGCGTAATTGCTTTATTTCTGATTCAGAACGCTTGTTCTTTTCTGTCTCTTTTTGATAATCACATTCAAGCTTTTTCACTAGATTATTAAAGGATAAGTTTTAAAAGAAGAATTTATAAATTAATTCTAGCTTAGAAATTGATTGTTACCAAAGTCTTTCAATTTTGCTACTTCAGCGTTACTCGATGAATTGTTACTACTTGTTGCAATAATCTCCATTGAATCTTGACTTTGATTCAAAATGGACCTCTTTTCGTATTCCAAATTCTCTATTTGACGTTTTAATTGAAGTACCATAGCTTCTAGCCCTTAGAAAAATAAACAAAAGAGTATGATATATCAATATTAAATCGCAGAGATATCGGGAAATGGAAAATATAAGGTACCTTGAGATCGCTTCTCACAATTGTTTTTGAACTCCCTTATACTCTGTTCATCCTTGTCGAGATTTTGCTGTCCATAAATCAAGCGTAAGAGAACAACTTGCCAAATTTTTTGAAATATTAAGATTT